AGTGTCTGTGGTAGTGTCTGTGGTAGTGTCTGTGGTAGTGTCTGTGGTAGTGTCTGTGGTAGTGTCTGAAGCAGTGAATGTTGTTTCCTTGGCAGTTGTGGTAGTCGTCTCCTCAGGGGTGGTAATAGTGGCCGTCTCCTTGCTAGTTGTTGCCATAATAGTATCCTCAGCAGTAATATTTGTCTCCTGAGAAGTTGTCGTTGATTCATCCTGAGTAGTTGACGTAGGGGGCTCTTCAGAGGTAGTTGTTGTCTCGTCTACAGCTATCGTCGTCGTAGGCTCCTCGGTAATGGTGGAGGTTTCTTCTGCTGTTACCCCGATTTCGATGGTTCCGGACAAAGTTCCCGAAGCAGTGATAGTAGAGGTGTAGGGCGTACCGCCTGCTGTCAATGTAGTTGCGGTTGTCACGTAGGCAAGCCGGAAAGGTTCGTTGCAGTCAACGCAGGCTTCAGCTTTGATCATCAGGGCTGAGTCCCACATGTTGTCTCCAGCATCACAAATTGCGACGACCACAGTCTGCATACCACCGGGAAGTGACGGTACATCGATCCAGTAAGGCGGCGACGACCCGGCGTACGAGGTAACGCTGTTGGGCGGTACGATAACCAAAGGTTGTGACAGCCACGGGCTCACCGCGTTCAGCCTATTCCCATTACCATCCAAGGCATAGTTCTGGTTGTTTACGAATATGCCAATTGCATCAGCAGCGCCCCTGGGTCCTATTAGTTGACTGTAAAACACTTTGTGGCCAGTATTACTAACCCTGATTCTTCCGAAGCCATGACAACCTCGAATCTCATTCCTCCGAAACCTGGAATAAGCATGACATCCGCAGTCAATATCGCAGCGTTGTTACTTAAACCGCCGCAATACGTTGCTGACCCAGCCGCACCATTATTGACGTAGTGGTCTCCATTTGGAAGAGCTCCAACAGCAGCTCCCGAGGTGAGGACCGCTGCGTCTCCCATACCGAAAGGGCCATCAGTGAATGTTCCAGAACTGTCCGATGCGCCGGTAAACGATGCCGAGATGACACTTATACCATTTCCAAAGATAGCAGAGGCCAGAGCGTTTCCATCAGTGTTTGCCGTGACGCTGAATGCGTATGAAGCACGTAGCAGTGCCACTAAGGCAACGAGCCTTGACAGATGAAACCCCATCTTCAACAAGGTATTGCAGAATCTCACAAACCGAGTGCAAACGTTGCTTTCCTCTGGCTTTCAGTTTAAGGAGTGGTCAATGGATGAGATCAAGAGGGGTTTTTATATACCTTTCATAAGCAGCCCATATCTGAATAGCCACTACAAAGGGGGAGCTTAGAAAGTACCCAGATGCACTTATCAATAACATCCATTCCGTTGCCAAAAGGCAGATGATCATCTTGAGATTACCTACTATCAATCGATCCACGCGGTTGCCTCTAGTAGCCTGCAGCTAATGCAAGTCTACTGCTGCTTTCTTCCGTCTCATTTTTGTAGTGGTTAGAAAGACTGCAAATGACGTGACAACTAAGTTCAGATGGGTTTAAATCAACGTCCTCGGTGGTCTACATGTCTTAGGGTGACATGCTAAATATCCCCTTACATTGCCATTTTTCAGGATGTCATCCAGGCCTAGTGAGTTCAATGTCGACATTCCATGGATGAAAGCTTGGTTGTGGGATCGGAGAAAACATAACACGACAAGTAACGGAGGTATCGCTATAGCCTGCTTCGATGATAAACCCTTCAGCGATACTTCAAAAATCCAGTATTCTCCAAATTGTGAGTCGAGCCACATCACATAATAGAACCTTCTGAAACATAATATCAGGTTTTCGTTCTTATTCGAATGCTCCCAACCCGAGAATAACCTAAGTAATCGACGATGATAAGCGAGACGTTGGCCTAAGGGAAAATATTTCTGGTATGAGACATTTATTAAGCATGTAAAAAGCTTAGCCTTAAACTCATGATTCTCCCTGAAATTTGGCGGGTCATTGTTGAAGAGTAAATCAAAGGAGACAGCCCACAATACACGATTCATGGCGGTCGAGGTTTGGGAGTTTTGTGAGTAGAAGGCATGAGAGAAGAGTTTCATGACTTGTAGGAGCTTTCACGCGGTTTGAAGCCGTTTATTCCTATCTTCCTACCATAAAAGAGCCTGACCTGAGCGCTACCAGAATTCTGTGGTGATCGCTTGACAATACGCCATATCGAAAGAACTGCATTTTAAGCTCTTTCTCATATCGTTTATGTCAATCGATGGAAGTGATCCGGGTCCTGGTGTTAAGCTTATCACAACACTATGTCGATGTCTCACACTGAGTCGGAACAGCTCCAGATAGCCAGTCCGTCGATCCAGAACAAGTGGTTTTATTGCATCGTACCATTCCTTTGACTAAGTTATCATCATCTGACAGCTGTCTCAGGCCCTCCTTCGAAGAGCAGAACCGTAGGTGAAGAGGCCAAATGCTGAAATGACACTGAGAAGAATTGGAACCGGTTTCCTCAGACGAAGGGCTCGGGGGAAAGCAGATCCCCCAAGAATGACGGAGGCTAAAAGGCCAAGCTCGACTCCATAAGGCTGCTCATTCTGAATGCGATAGCCACCAAGAGCATCTACAAGCAAGTTGTTAACACGTTGACACGCTACGGGGAAGACAAGGGAGGTAATGTTGAGACTTACATAAAAATCCAACAGCGCAGCCAGCAACGATTGAAGGAACAGATCGTGTGCGCGCGTATCCCATGATACCGCCTCCTGCGGTCAGAGCACCGAGGATGTAGGCGGGAAGCTCAAGATCGTGGTAATTGACGGTGGCCTAACTTGTTAGCCAACGAGCTGGTCAAGGCTGTTATAAGGCTCATACTAACCATTGTATTGCTTGTATCCTTACTGTCTGGTCTCTCAATGGAATTTGTAAATTTTCAAGATGAAACAGCAACTTGTTATTTTATGTCTAAGATGAAGCTGCGGAGCTCCCGGCCATTGACGACATATTCGAGGTACGTACCTCACAGTTCGTGGTGAACGTGGGTCTAACCCCCGGATTCTTGGCTTTTTGTGAACCAATCATCTTCAATTTACCTTGGAGCTTTCGTGTCCAGAGGAAGCTCTCCTACTGCACTTTGAACTAAACTAACCAAATCTACCGACACCAACATCAAACACTACGAATCAACCATCACCAAAGCCTCATAATATCGAAAGAAACGCCCACACCGAGCAAACAGTCCAACTCACCCAATAAACCCTTCCGACTTACAAACATGGCGGCTAAGAAGAACGTCCGCGATATCACCCCCTCGGCCGCTGCTACCACTCAGGCCAGCACCACCAGCGCTGGTTCAGTTCCTCCTCAGCCTCAGCCCAAGCCCGTGGCTATCGCCAAGAACGAAATTAAGGGCGAAGTTCAGTGGGACAAGGTAGTCCAGAACCTCTACAATCACTACGTCAACAATACTCCTCAGCGCATCAAGTTGGTTGATGCTTTTATGGCCTTCCTTGTTGTCGTTGGTGTTCTCCAATTCATCAACTGCGCCCTCGCTGGCACCTTCGTGCGTCTCTCTCAGTGAATCTGTAATCGTTTATTGATTGCTAATTCTTCTTAGCCCTTCAACGCTTTCCTGTCCGGCTTCTGTGTGACAGTTGGGCAGTTCGTCTTGACTGGTATGTTACGACGACCAACGACCTCGAAAGACTATGGCTAACGATACCCAGCTTCGCTACGACTTCAAACAAATGAGGCTGTCAAGAACGATTGCCCCTCAGTATCCCCCGAAAGGTTTGTCGAACTCGAGTTTAAAGGAGACCCAACACTAACCTTCTCCAGAGCTTTCGCCGACTTCATTGTCTGCAGCTTGATCCTGCATTTCTTCGCCATCAACTTCATTAACTAGACGGCTAGTTGAATAGCGTGACCCTGGTGGGATAGGGACCTCTTAAGGGCTACGTCGGACCCATCAGGCAGTGTACGATAAAAGACGGCAAATCACGAAATTCTTTAAAAGTTTGACCAATAGATCAGGAAATAGAACAATCAGCAAGGGGAATCATTCACATGTGCTATTTTGCCATAATCTCATTCTGCTTCACCACCACTGGCCTGAGTCTCCGGCTTTGGTGAGTCCCTTGGAGGACCGCCTTTTGGTGGGGGAGGGGCTGGTGAGTTCCTAGCCGAAGGTGCATTGTCCACAGCCCGACTCTTCTCTTCCTCCTCTTTAAAGTAGTCATCCATCAGCCTGTTGGGGTTGTGGCCATGGCGTTCCTTCTTCTTCCCAGCTCCCCTTGGCGGTGCACTCACTGGAGCATCACCTATCATCTGTGCAGGCACCAAAAAGTCTCCTGCGGGAGGGGCGGGCTCCGAGCCACCTACCGCAGGAATAAATGCGTCCTCACTCTTCTCATTGGTGGCTCCGTCGAACATCGTCTCGCCAGGGGCATCAACGGGCTCGCTCAGAGGAGGAGGTATCCTGTGAAGGGCTCCGTATCCAAGCACGCAACCCAGCGCTCCTTGGCCACCCCAATCCCTGCTAGGCTGTATTGTGACTTCTCTGGTGACATTGTATTCGTTGTTGTAGACCCAGATTCGCATCGGCCGTCCGATAAAGTCCTCGACAAGCTCGCCCAGGCCACCCTCGCCATATAACGCACCCTCAGGACTACCGAGGATATAGTCACTGTATGGCAGAAGACCGGCGGCATCGGCGGGAGAATTGGCGGGGACATCGAGAACGTGCCAGATGTTGGCGGCGAGGGCCAGCGGAGCGTATTGGAGCGAGAGACCGAGGGATGCAGTATCTAACGCAACAGGAGCATGGATTTCTCTCGTTCTTTGGCCCTAATTGTTGTCAGTAGGAGAGTTTAGGAGGTACAAAGTTAGTAAGTATACTTTTGCGTTCCACAATCCCAGGGTAACTGTGCTGCCCGCGCAGTTTCTCACTTCCTGGCTGAACAGGGCTGGTTCAGGGTCTTCCTATACTAGTTATTAGCGATAAGGAGCTTAGATTACCTAGAATGAGCCGTCATACAATAGGTCTACCATTGATTCCAACAATAAAGTCGAACCAGGGTTCGATAGCAAGCTCCAGGTTGGTATTGCGCAGCACCTGGAAGCCGAACGAGCCTCGCTCTTGTTGCCTCTGTTGCTGGACGTCTCCGTCCAGGCGCGAGATGAAGCGGTTTAGTGCATTAAACATTGCTTCTGTGACTTGTTCTCTAGATCCGTGTGTGTCTATTATTGCTGGGATCAAAAGGGGTTGGTGTGTTAAGTATTGTATCAGATGGAAGCATGTCAAGGGCAGATCGAGCAATCGCAAGCTGTCACTATTACAGTGGCAGCCTTGCAGCAATGGCGTCTGTGCCAAGCCCACTAGGTCTCTATGTGGGGCATACTGTGGGGAGCTCATCGTCAGCCTCGTGCTCAATTTCAACCTTCGAGCTCTCTTCGACTTGCTCATGGCAAGTCAATATTTCAATTTTGACAAAGAATGGCTGCTAGCGCTTAATACAAACTTACTCGGACTATATTTTCGGTCAAGATATGAGTAGTTCAGGAGTAGAAATGTCGCTGGACGACTCCGAGTACTCTATGAAGCCAGCTGAGGAGCTGCCTCTCACTGATGATTGTCACCACTATCAAGGAAAGCATGAGGTACCATGGGATATTCAAAAGTGAGCAACTATTGACTAGTTCACGTCTCTCGATCTTGCTAATATGGCCAGATACTTTGCGCAGCGCTATTCGATCTTCTCATTGTATGACTATGGAGTTTACATGACAGACGATGCCTGGTTCGGTGTAACGCCCGAGCCAGTAGCAAAGTGAGTATACAAATTATATACCTTCTCAAGGCTCTGCTGACTCTAATCTAGCCAAGTTGCTCATGATATGTACGGTACCGACCAAAAGAAGCATATCCTGATCGATGTCTTTGGTGGTGCAGGCGGTAACAGTATTGCCTTTGCTCTTTCTGAACGATGGAGTCGCATTATCTCTATCGAACGCGACCCTTCAACCTTAGCCTGTGCCCAGAATAACGCCAAGGTCTATGGTATCGCGCCGGGGCTAATTACGTGGGTTCTTGGTGATAGCTTCGAGTACCTCGACAAGTTATTCAATCACACAGAAGAACTGCACCCAAATCTAAGAGTAAGCCTTGACGAAACAGTACTGTTTGCAAGTCCACCTTGGGGCGGCCCTGGATACCGCACTGATGAAGTATTTAATCTTTACAATATGCAGCCGTATAATCTTGACGATTTACACACTGCATACAACAGGCTGGATCATGCGTTGTTTCTACCGCGGACGAGCGATATTCGACAAATCGCTAGACTAGCACCTCCTGATAGGAAAGTTGAGGTTGTTCAATACTGCATGGAGGGTGCCAGCAAGGCCCTGGTGGCTTACCTTCCAGGGAAATACTCAAAAGCCCGCCAGTGAAGGACACCCTTCAAAAGAGATCGCTGTCGCATCTCGCGTACCAATGGAACAAGTCTGTATTTGAGGAAGGGTGTTGCTGAAGGTCTCAGGCATTGGGTTGACGAGATCATGCTGCTGTCGGAGGCAACCGTACTTATCCGTCTCATACCATACCATACCATACCTTGCCTATTCAACGGCATAGTAATATAATTTGCAGCTCAGGCATCAATAGAATGTTGCTGTATCGTTCAAACGTGCATCATCCAGCTTATTCAATTGCATAAGTGATCGATATACAGTGGGTATGATCTAATTGACACTGTACTGTGAATGGTTGGATTTGACTTGATCAAAACCTGTAGGAACCCCATCCACACGCAGGAATTTTCACATTAGAGCCCAAACTTGGCAACTTGTTCTACAGTGCCAAATACTTTTCATCATCATGGCCAAAGATAAAAAGAAGAACGCTGACGCCAAAAAGGCAAAAAAGGTGCCGTCATATTCTGTGCTACAATGTCTACCTATGTCTTGCCCCTCCATCATTACCCCTCCAAATATGACTGCCCCTCCGTGCATCATGACATGTTGAACTTTTGACTAATGATCAGAATTAGGCTGAGAAAGCAGCCAAGCAGGCCAATAAGGGGGAAAAGAAGGCCAAGAACAAGGCCGCCAAGGTCGAAGGAAGTGATGCTGAAGATGTTGATCTTGATGAGGTGCTGGAAGAGTACCGAAGACAACAGGAGCAGTTCCTCAAGATCACTGAGACGGTAATTGATGCACCTCCGAGAGCGAGAGCTGCCTCAACGTTGATGGCTTCACCTCATGATAGCAATACTTTACTACTCTTTGGCGGTGAATACTTCAATGGCTCTCTCGCTCAGTTCTTCAACGATCTAAATATATACAACATTAACAGAGATGAGTGGCGATGTGTAACTTCACCCAACGCTCCACTCCCACGATCTGGTCATGCCTGGACCAGAGCTGGAAACCCGAACCATGTCTATCTCTTTGGCGGGGAGTTCTCTTCGCCAAAGCAGGGCACATTTCATCACTACTCAGATTTCTGGAGGCTGGAGCCTGCAACGAGGGAGTGGACGAAGATTGAGACCAAGGGTAAGGACAAGAGCCCTTCAGCTCGAAGTGGTCATCGAATGACGTACTGGAAGCAGTACATTATCCTCTTTGGCGGTTTCCAAGACACTTCAAATCAGACAAAGTACCTATCAGATCTCTGGATCTTTGATACCGTTAACTTCGTGTGGCACTCTCCTCAACTGCCTCCTGCCCAACTCAAGCCAGACGCTCGCTCATCTTTCACCCTGTTACCCCATGAACAAGGTGCGGTTCTCTACGGAGGTTACTCACGTGTTAAGGCGACTGTCAACGTCAAGCAAAAGGGCAACAAGGGACCTAGCCAGGCTCAGCGAAATGTTCTTATCCCCAAGGTTCATGAAGACTGCTTCTTCCTCAGAATCTCGCAACCTGCGACGGACGCCAACCCCAACACTCCCCCGGTTGTTCGCTGGGAAAAGCGAAAGAAGCCTGCCAATACTCCCAACCCTACACGTGCTGGTGCAACAATGGCCTGGCACAAGGGCCGCGGTATTCTCTTTGGAGGAGTGCACGACGTTGAGGCTAGTGAGGAGGGTATGGATAGCGAGTTCTTCAACCAGCTTTTCGCTTGGAACATTGAACGAAATCGATTCATGCCGTTGGGTCTACGAAAGCCTCGTCAGCAGAAGAAGGCTGCTGCTGAGCCTCGAGGCGGGCGCCGTGGTCGGGCTCAAGCAAATGAAGACGAGCTTCTGAGACAGCTTGCTGCTTTGGAGACTGGAGCTTCTCTAGATGACGCTGATGAGATCGAGCTTGCCAAGAAGGAAGAGGAAAGGGACGACGACAAGCCAGCAAGAGAAATGCCAGTGACCATGGAACCTCCACATGTAAGATTTAATGCTCAACTGGCCATCCAAGACGATGTCCTCTATATCTATGGCGGAACATTTGAGAAGGGAGACCGAGAGTTCACATTTGATGATCTCTATGCCATCGATCTTGGAAAACTTGATGGTTGTAAGGAGATCTTTAGTCGACCCGTCGAAGACTGGATCGTAAGTGATGTCGAAATGGCGTATGAAATTTGGTTAGCTGACTTTAGTTTCAGGAGTCTGATGACGAGGACGAGGACGATGAGGATGAGGATGAGGAGGATGAAGAAGATGAGGACGAGGAAGAAACAGGCCAGCAGCTCTACACACCCAGTAAGAGAAAGAAGAAGCAAGATGAGGTTTCTGAGGCTTCGTCAGAGCCTTCATCGGAGCCTTCAACGCCCTCAGAAGACGATGAGACTGAGACCGCAGCCACTTCTGTGGACGACGGGTTACCCCATCCTAGAGTAAGTATTTCCCGTCTTCACTTCACTATCATGAGGGGGTTACTGACAGAACAACAGCCTTTCGAGAGTCGACGAGAGTTCTTCGTCCGTACATCAGCTGAGTGGCAAGAGATTTTGATGACGAGTCTCCGTTGGAAGAACATCCAGCCCGAGACACTAGCTATCAAGGAGATCAAGGCTAAGGCCTTTGAGCTTAGTGAGGAGAAGTGGTGGGATTGCCGTGAGGAAATCGTGGCTCTGGAGGAGGAACAGGAGGCTGCTGGTATCCAGGAGGTAGTAAGCTTAGCGGAGAGAGGAGATGCTGCATCTGGTGGTGGCGCGAGAAGGAGGTAGATAAAACTGGATGTGGCAACTGTTATTTATATCAATCAATATGAGACCCTCTTCTGCAACCTCTGGATGGCCTCCTCTTCTAATTTTATGTGACCACTCCGTTGTTGTTTTTTTTTCCACTTATCTACTTCTTCTGGGCTTGAGCGCCCCTGTATGCTGAGGTTCATTGTCTCAGGATACAGCACGATAACAGTTCACGAGAATGGGAAATGATTGCCTCGAGTATTTGCTGATAGTTTCTTATTCACGTAGTCTTCAACCACCAACCCTATTTTCTGAGTCAACCCAACGCCACGCACGCCAATCCATGATCTCCTGCAATCGCCTCACATCAGGAACACTACAATGGCTCCTCCACAACACCAGTGGGTGACCATGTCGCTTTCTTGCCGCGCGTCCATAGAACCAGAGCCGCAGCTCTCTCGATAAGTCAGTTGGGAGACGCAGCCATAGGCGGGTATGAAGCACCGCCAACGTCAACCTTGGGCTCGCACTCGCAACGCTCAGCCTCAGGGACGTTGTCGATAACGGACTGAATATGGCTGCCACAACCCCACCAGGAGGTCTTCTCTGTAGGCATTTTAGTACCATATTTTTGAAATTGGATACATCGACTTACTGCAGGTTCCGCAGGTAGCCTTTTTACACATTTTTGGGGCTGAGTATTCTGACTTGATGGATATCGAGTGAGTTGTGAAAGAGGAGTCTATATCGGCTCCTCGGGGTCACAAGTGGAGAGTGAGGAATGGAGAATGGAGGCTTTCCACTTCCAGCATCTCCGGACACGGCGATAACTAAGCCAGAGCCAATGATTCGTCACCGATATAGGGAGTGTTTTGTGAACCAATCGGCATTTGAATGGGTCAGATCAGAATCATGAGATACTCTTCCTGGGAGAAACTCTTGGAATGCTGAAACCTCGGCTTGTGATGTCATGATCATTCAAAACCATAAAATACTATCAAATTAATATTTCGAGGACGCTATTCTCCAGAGTTGAATAACAACCAGAAACTCGAATAAATTGATATAAATTCACATAATAATGAAAATATGCTGACAACTCCTGCTAATGGTCCATCCCACACGCCCTACATTCTGCCTTGAAAACCACGTCACAATTCCTCACCAGCAGTCTTACTCACCAGAAGCTTGTTCTTATCAATCATTTCACTCTCAACAACTGATCGAATGAGGTTTAATGTCAGTTCCCTCCCCTTGGCAACACTCGTAGGCGAAGCATCGGCTGGGACATGAAGAAACAGCGCCTTTCTGGGTCTCTGCAGTTTCCACAGCTCAGAGAGACTTGAGTAGTAGATAAAGTCGCACATAAAGTGACCTGCATCTTCTGATATGCGCAGATCCGCCTCCTGTGCTTCCTGTCAGTATTGACACAGTCTCAGATCTGCTCAGCTTACCGAACTGTGCCCCTGCCACAGCGGGAGTATTTCATTGAGATTCAGCTCCGTCTCAATCTCCTCTGGAAGGCCTCGCCACGGCCAGTCATTCCTTTCTCTCTCTTCTTCTCCGTCTATGTATTCACCATCGACATCCGGATGCTTGTACCCATCACGGTGACCTCTCCTCTCGATGGAGTAGAATGGTCGAGGACCAGCCATTCCAATGTGAATGACAATGTCAAACTTCTGTGGCGTGTCATGGAACGATGGCACAAGGCCTCTCACAACCCGGTAATTGACACGGATAGCCTCAGGGTGCACCACTATGCGTACCTTTGGCAGAACAACAGCCGCATGCCTCGAGTTAGGGTCCTTGGCTCGTAGCGGAGGAAGATATGAAGGCAAGCTGTTGGCGATTTCCCATGAGGGGTTAATGGGATACTGTTCCCTGAACGGCTATAGCATCAGCGAGTTAGCAGGAGTTACACAACTCATACCACACTGCATATCCCGGCTAAGGTGTCACGATCTTGAGCTTTGCAGTGTTGTGTGACGTCGAGCGGGGTGGTCAAGCAAGCAAATGACGCTTAATATGAGAGAGGAAGCAAAAACATACACCAAAACCTGTGACAAGCACAGTAATCTCATCGGGGTCTCCAATCTGCGAACCCATTATGCGTTGAGACTATATATACAACAGAATAAACTAGCGACCAGAAAGATAGAGGGAGGGAGGAGAATCTGGTCTTCTTGAGATACTAGTGGGGATAGTAGTATCATCAAGTTGCCAACCTATAAATGCCTAATAACCCTCCATGGGTAGTAAGCTGAGTGAGAAGGCATAGATAAAAAGGGTAAAGCTGGCCTGCCGAATCCTAAATCAGACTTAAGCTGACCTCGGTTTTTTGTTCCTCTTAATATCCGCTTACTCTTTTCTTTTCTCTTTCTTCCTCTGACATAGCGGCGTTTAACGATAATTCGTTGCCAAGACAAGCAGGCTACCAAGTTCGGTACAGGTATAGGGTAGCTACAATATCAGAAACAAATACATTGTTTGGTTAATTGTGATCATTTATATGTTATTTGTTTACGATTAGTCTTTATTTACTATAGTAGTAGTAATCTTAGAGATTTAATAATAGCAGAGTTTCCTTTCTGCTATATTATGGTGATTCATGACGAATGAAGCATTGCACATCTTTAAGCGCTGCACTGAACCAGAGCCTGTTGGGATTACTTGCATGTAGGGTATGAAATACAATGGAGTTGAAGGGGCAGCTCGGATAAAACTGGAAGGACAGCGCTGAGCTGAGTATATGTTCATCAACGATAAAAACAAAAGCTGGAACAATATGCCGTCGTCTATTCCATACGTGCTCATGTTTCTTGATAGACTCCCCACTTAGCCCCTCCATGCGGAGTTACCCAAAACAGACAGCCACCAAGTAACAACTTGGATTCATCCTTTATAAACACCTTACATCAGAGCAACTGCAAACTTTTTCATATTATACAAGTTAAACAAAACCGCGAAAAAGACATATACGTTGGAACCATAAAGTCCATTGCATTTTCGTGATAAGACAAACACCAAAAACAACCTCAAATTCATTCTGTCAGACTCTGAAGCCACCACCTCATTCATCCAGATACCGTACTCAAAGGACACAATGGGATCAACTCCGGAATACAACCTACCCCCACAGGAGCTTACATTTGACGGGTTTCTCTTCGATATGGACGGTACTATTATCGACTCCACGGAAGCAGTAGTGAAGCACTGGGAAACGTAAGTGCAGCCGCACCCACCTCACGTCTTACGCGGCCAGTCCGAGTGACTAACCGAGCAAAGAATTGGGAATGAGATAGGCGTTGCCCCCGAAGTTATCCTTGAGACTTCTCATGGACGACGAAGCATCGACATTCTCAAGATTCTCGCACCTGAAAAGGCGAACTGGGATTGTAAGTGATAGAAACAACATCCCGGCCACAGCAAGCATGGCAAAGCCCACAAACACAGGAATATGCATGGACATGTCAGACGCAAAACCTCAGTTGAGGATATATCCTGGCGGCCATGTATGTGCTGGCGAGGCTGGGCATGCCCCCATGTAACTAGACTATCATAGCTAGCTAGGCCGAGCGACCGCTGATCACTTCCCAGATGTACGTGACATGGAAGGACGTCTACCCAAGTACCACGGCCACGAGGCTGTCGAGATACCTGGCGCCCGTTCCATGCTAGAAGCACTTATCGCCAGATCTAGCCCATGGGCGATCGTCACCTCGGGCACCGTCCCTCTCGTCACCGGATGGCTACGTGCTCGAGACCTGCCCACACCGCCGTCGGATCACCTCGTCACGGCAGAGTCCGTCGAGAATGGTAAACCTGACCCCGCCTGCTACCGCCTCGGCCGTGAGCGTCTCAGTCTGCAGGCGGAGGACGCCCAGGTCCTCGTCCTCGAGGACAGCCCAGCAGGGATCCGCGCAGGAAAAGCAGCAGGCTGCAAAGTTCTCGGCCTGGTAACTAGCCATACCGTTGAGCAGGTCATCGCTGCAGAACCAGACTGGGTCGTTCGAGACCTCTCCTCAGTCAAGGTGCTTCGGAGCGAGGGCGGAAAGGTGACTATCGAGATTTCAAATGCGCTCCGAATATAATTGAGCCTCGGCATTGGGTGCATCAGCGGAGCTCATGGTGGAACTGTGGTGGGTGAGAGTGAGTGAGTGAGGGAGGGTGAGGGATATGGAGCCGTGAGGGAGATGTAAAAAAACCACTTGATTTCATCATGACGATGGAACATTTAGTCAATAGATCCAGAGATGAGACTGGGATCGTTCCCTAGAAAAGAGATAGGCGAAATATGATCGCCCTGAAAAGGGCATATTGACATCATCACTCTTCCTCTCCCTGGGTACATGATTCTTGATCTCAATTCCTTTGTCGCTCCCTGTATACTACTGTATTATGGAGATGGACATGGAGATCCTAATCACGATCTGGCACATGATGATCGACACGCCAAAGCGACACAACTGACGACCTGCAGATGAGACTCAGTGAAGATATTCTGTCAATGTGCAGATATCGCGCACTCAATCGTACCAAGGGAGACTCTGCAACAAAGAAATGATCCTGGTTGAAGTCTTTGTCAGTTCGAGACAAGACAGTACTCGGATCAACCATTGTTTGTTGCCAATGGTACCGCACCCTCTCACACTCCCATCTCCACCCAGGCAGTTCTCTCAAGTGAGACCTCTCCAGTGGAAAGCCACTTCAACTGAGACGTTTCTTGGCCATCCTTTGTCCTTTCAGACATGACCTCTCGGCATCAATCTCTGTTCTCCCTCCTCTCGTGTCTAGTTGCGCTACCCGGGAGAAACATCTGGCGTCTCGCAGGCTAAGTTAATGACAACCACTGTGAAGCGCGCTCAGCGGTCGCGGGTCTCCACGCTATAGTACTTACCTCAGCTATCGACTTAGCACCGTGAATTCTTCAGGCCTTCAGCATCGGGACCCATGAACATGTCTTGGTTGTCACCTGTCATCGCACCGTTTCCTCCGGTGGGTTTTGAACCAAGTGGCCCAAGGGCAGACATGATAGAGTCCGTCGCCCGTTGAAGCGGGGAAGAGTGTAATTTTGCACACAGAGAAGAGGATTGACGTGATAGGTTGTGTGTGGCTAAGGGTATCGTTAAGGCGAGAGATGCCAGTGTCAAAACTTTTCGCTCCCACTCTGCATTGTCTTGTCTTGGCCTGGCCTGTGAGGCCGAATTGACACACGACAAGAGGACTGAGTCAGAAACATCGAAGCCCCTTACCCCTGACGCGTCTTGTTGAAGACAATTAAAGCAAAAAAAGGTTGAAGACAATATCATCTACAGAATCCACAATCAACACTCCACGCGGCGTGAGGAGCTCTCACAAAACCGCCGGTGTCGCAGGAAACATGCCGGCAGAGTCCCTGACCCAGATCTGTGGCGGTATCAACTTGGCGGAGTTCTCGTTCTAATTATCATCAACTACAAGTTCGCGCCAAGAGGCAGCGTACGGAAACGTTTGTTCCCTTCTGGGAATGGTGGTCCGGTTCAAGTGGACCAAAGCAAGGAGACCAAGCTAACAAAAACTCTGTGTCTGTCTGAGGGAGAATTTGTGCCACGATAAGCCAGCAAGCAAGTGTTTGTTATAGAGGGGTATGAGGCCGGCGAGAACGAGAATAGTATCAAAGATCTATGAAAAGCTCATGTGAGGTTGGACAACATATCAAAGTGACAGGTGACAGGTGACAGGAACCGCAATTTCGCAGTCTGTCGTACTGCATGGCAGGTTTGCCATGATTTCCGCACGCCGGAAGCACTCGGTCTATAAGCTGTTCGTGCCTGAACAGTTGTCTTTTGCCAAACCAATTTTCTGTGTTTTCGTGCCATGCCAGGACTACGGGTGATTCCTGCAAGGTCCCGTACGCCCAGTGTCACAGTCGTGATAATTTTGATTTGTAAAGGGCGGATAGTGACATGGCGGCTGACCCGGTGGCTTTTACTTCCACTGTCCGCTGTGCCACTACTGTACGGAACAATTTCAGGCAAAGCGAAGGGAGTGGTGATTCGAAACTGCCTCAAGTCAACAAAGTCCATGGTGTTGTGATTACGACTCGCGAGCCCCCTGTAATTCCTTTACTTGAGACAGGGGTTTCCCTGAAGGACCCATCATATCCCACCGTGGAAACAAAGGGAGATCTTCCGGTAGGATTCATCGGGATGTCCACCATCAAATCCATGCGCATCCACGGTGTCGGAGAGGGCGGCCAAGATAATAATGGCCATAATATAGGTAGGCAGGCTAACAAAGCAGCAGAGCAGAATGTTCAGCTGGCAGGGGCTGGATAGTATCATAGAAGGAGGACGCCTAGATGTTTACCAGCATTCCTTTCTCTCCCACAAGTTCGCCGTTATTATATCGCCCCGCGAGAACCCGGCCGGCCGGGTTATTGGTGCTTCACGTTCCTGGGCCGGGCACCAATCCCCTGGAAAGTCGTCCACTACCTATGCAAACGCCCTTGACGCACTCTCGATTTGGATCTTAGTCCGTGATCGTGGCTGGCTCAAATGAGATTTGATCCCCTCTAAGCTCGAATGTCTTATCCAGCCACAAAAGACGGTCCAGATACCAACAAAACACATTTCTTTGTCGTTTCATGAATTTTGCTCTCCCTAATAATAAGAAGCGACGAATCCTGAAATGTATTACACATCATCTTCGACTCCTTATTCCTGCATAAATATCACCAGTCCTGCTTTATAAATAGCGCGTTTCGAGAACCGAAGGCTGGCGGTCTTTATCAAAAAAAAAAAAAAAAAAAAAAAAGGAATCATTATCTACCATCGTGAAAGAAAGGGCTGTCAGAGGAGAACTGAAAAAAAAAAAAATATGCTCTTTGTGATATTGCCCAGCCGTTGAGACAGCCCCTAGAGCCCTCACGTATGAAAATTAGAGTAGAGGCCTTTGCGGTGCTCGGTGAGTGACAAGTCGCTATGGCATACATTGGAGACACGACGTGATTAGTCCATATACGGAGTATCGACGAGAGCTTGGCCGAGGCCCACGAAAAATTGTTATCCCCGGAGAAGTGTAAGATACCAGGACACGCTACCTAGACTACGTAGTGGGCGCTGTTCAAGTTGGTTTGGGGTTTTGCTCTGCCTTTTTGCTCTATCCAGTCCCCACTCGACGACAAGAGCTTGCTTCATTAGCTTATTAGAGAATCTACCACAAGTGTCGTTACGTGATGATTCAGAGTCTGATAAGCTTGACCCCAGCAGCTAGGTTACCGACGGCGGATTGCGTCGGTTGCTTGGACTGGTGAACTGCTGCTAGGTTATTGAAGACATGCCACATCCATGGCTGCCTCTCATCAGAGCTTTGCTCTTTATCCGACTTGCTTTTTCAGCGCAGGCGGATTTCTGAGCTTTCTGCTTGATATCAGCGTTCGAATTGCCCACGGCCGGCCTCACTGCAAGCCTCCCCAGAGACAACGCAGCACCTACAGGGCTAAGCGCTAAGGTAGCCTGGGAATCCTAGAAAGGAATAGCAAGCACCGCCAAGACTCGCTGGCCACGTGTTGGATGGATCCGCTTCTGGCCTTATTCGACCAGACGAGAAACAACATGCCCCCTGTTCGCCGTTCAAGAGCCCATTTCGGGCCTCTACGTTGACCAGTCTCGTCGTTGGCATGCATGTATGCACGCAGTAGCTCGATTCATCCATGATCCTTGAGCTCTGCATGTTCGACAATGATTCCGGTTCAATGTATCCGACTCTGCCTATGACACAAGCGTCATGAATAGGTACAGCTGTATTATTTGCCCTGGCATTAATGAGAAATTTAGCACATTGATAGCTGAACATTTCCTCACCGGAACAACACGTTTTTGACTTTCAAGTCCAAGGCATTTTCGTCTTTCCTTAACGACATGGCTGACATCGAAGCATCGATCATTATGTCATCGAAGCCGTAGCCATTGAAAATGAGCACAGAGCTAGAACACCAGTTTGCGATTAGTAGACCGACCTCTTCTTAAGTTGCATCGGGCAGCAGATGCTCATCAGTGGCAAGAAACGGCCCGTTGAGAAGCATGACAGGTGATGAAGCTTGTCATGAGAGCTGCCTGTGACTGAACATACCAAGTTGCAGGCAAAGAGGTTTGAAGATTCTCCAAGAGAACACTGGTCTACCGAGACGATGGGACATGGGGATTAAGTTGAAGCTAGGCCCAAGCCCCAGTAACAGGGGCATCGGATCTCAGCCTTCGCTTGCTTGTACGAGTAGGCCACGAGCTGCTCCAATCGTTAACGTGGTAGATTTGCCACGGCCTAGAGCTTTCCAGAGGACTGGTAACTCTCGCTAGGACCTCTAGCAATCCAACCCTGCCTCTGTTCGGCCGCCCAATACCCAATCCTGGTTTAACCTGTCCGCCGATACTACGGTGCCGAATGTTGTTATACAAGATGCCGTACTGAAAGATCATCAGTAGATCCTGGTTGTATCAGGAGTCGATCCGTACAGCAGATATGCATCCGGTGAGCTCAACACCTCAACTTTTCGCTCTAAAAGGTTGATTTAGTTCGACTGCTCAGTTTCTAGGACCTCCTGAGGAGGTTCTTTTTCAGGGGCAGAGTTCGGTCGTGATCCATTCTCTAGCCGTGCTCAACGGGCATGGAGTGACTTGTTGGTACTTAGCATAACGTAGGTCTTCCAAGCCAGCCTCTGCCCCATCTGCGCTAAGCCTTAGTTTCTGCGGGCCTCCTGGTAGACACTAGCACGCTGACCAATCGCAACTTTACACTCCGCAACAGATCCTGAGACATTGTCTCTGATGAGGCAGCCGTTATGCTTGCTCAACGCTCAAGGCGGACGCCTGATAAGCGCCTTCAGATAAAGCATCAAAACGGCGACGAATTAGCCCTTTTATTAGTGCTCCTGGGTAGATGTTTAAATCGTACGTTTTTCTCACTCAAAACGTCGCCTTTGTTCCTGTACCCCTTGAAGTCGCAGGAAGATATGTGCGGGCCGCGGATCTAGTGCCCGGACGTGGTAAGCGAGGGAAATATCTGATGATTCTGAATCTTTGGTAAATCGCGACCCCGAAAATGCTCGGATCTGTTTCTGACCAGGACCTCTTACAAGGGTAACCTCGTGCCAGGCTGCCAGCGGTTTGGTCTGAATGACGACCAGGGATTAATGCAACCTGTGGTCGGAAATGCATATCGACAAGGGTACTATACTCGATTCAGTACGTGACGTCCTCAGTATGTAAGTGCCGAAGACAATTGGGCTTCAGACGCTTGTAATCGCAGCTCGAATTGGAACAGTGTCCTGCGGGTGTTTGTGTGTACTCAGCTGGGAAAGGATTGTATCGTAGCAACCACCACGGCTTCCTGTTTTGGCTCGATTGCGCTTAACTACTGAGCAAGGTCGCTACTTATTTAGGCCATTGTTGACGATAACGATCAGAAATGCAGTTTTATGACGGTTCAGAGCCGCAAAGTCGAAGTGACCGTCCAAAAGTGATCGACAAGATCGGCCCCTGCCAGTATCGGGACGGCTTCTTCCCGACAGCAAAGACCATGTAGTCACTTCCAGATCGCATCTGGAATCCCAGGCCGTTGACTTTCTAATGTCTTTTCTTGTTGGTGGCTCCCCAGTGTCTTCTCTTCATCGGAAATCACCGCAAAGTGTGTAGAAGCTGCCATGGTTTCCAAAGCACTCTGAACACCTGACGTTAATGCACAAGGTATCGTAGTGCATGTACAAGCTCTGGAGTACATCGTATCCGAGATCCTGGTTTTCTGTCAAGTAACCCCCGCACTGAAGAGCTAATCATTTCCTAGACCAGTTTCTGGGGGCATAATGGTGCACATCTTATGTAGATCATCCGCCAGGAAAATGCCTGCAACATGCACAAAGCATATCAAGAAAGATTTCGATCCTCGCTCGCAAGCAAAGCGCCTCCACTGAAGCAATTCGCGGTCTGCCGTGAATCTCGACGAAGACAACAACAAGAAAGAAAGTGACGCGGTCTTTCACAAGCCGCCCAGGCGGGTGCAGGTACATACGAGTTTGCTTATTAGTGAGTCGAGACCGTTCTCTTCGGCTTTGCCGTGAACTTCATTCTGGCTCAACCCCACCCCGTCGTACCTGAGAAGTGGATGTGCTGTGATGTTGAAAATGAGTGTGTGACCCACTACACCGATACCAAAGACCTGAGAAGATCAGTTTGACATGCTGATGAACAAACAAAATCGCTCTCTCAATTTCAACTTACTAACGTGCGTTGCTCGGAATGACCAGCACCATCAGCATTGAAAACTTCCATAGACGGCAACCTGGTTATGGAAGGACTTGGCTGTTTGGTTGTGATAAATAACTTTTTGGCCCTGTATCAAGCATACGTAGTCGGGTCCGTGTAACTCTCACATTGGTGCATTTTCGTCAATGGAAAGCACAATGACGGTGCTGTTGTGCTGCGATGCTACACTCAAATTCGTTGTTTCGATATATCATTTCCGGGCTCCTAGGTTTCCTTGGATAAGCACCGTGCGCTTCAGCGTTGGAGCCCTGCCAGTTTTGGAAAGCTTGGTTTGTTTCCATCCCTGAACAGTTGCGTTTCCGGTGACCCGCCTCTGGCGAGACTTACAGCTGGCCTGAATTGTCGCTTATCCATGCCGTTGATTCGTAAACTCTGGCTGATGACCCCATCGTGGGCTAGGATTGACTCGCTGGCGACTACATACCTGTCATAGCCATGGCTGGACAGGTTCTTGACGCTTGAGAGTCGCATCCTCCTGGCCTCTCAAGGCCGTTGACGGACACATTCCCAATCTCGTTGTACGGCCCTGGCGTCACTCTCCTGCAGGTGCGCAATTTGCGGCCGGGCCCGCTAATGGCCAACCGCTCGCGCTCCCTCGCACCCTTTTCACATTTTCACCGGTCGTGGCGTGGCTTGTAGCGCTGAGCGAACCTCACTTGGCTTGATGACATGTTTGATATCAGAACGCGAAGATAGACCAAGCAGTGCCTGTATGACAATGTCGGAACAGTCGCATCTGAACCAAATATTCCTTGTAGACTGGAACTCGTCACAAAGGCACACTGCTTTCCTGAGCTTGAGAATGCAGAGAGCCAACTGAACCGCCTTACTGGGAACCAGAGCGCACTACAGACGTAGTGTTCAAGCCGCTTACACAACGTCACGCAATCCCTCGTCTTGCTGTCGATCGTACCACGCCTCTTGGGAACACACCAAGTTGCAATGCCCGATATAGACATAAGGGGTTGTACGCGAGGGATGCCAACGGCTAGGAAGGATGTTCGGTTGTAGCACCATTCAGAGCTGTCATAGTTTGTTTCGACTATGTAAATGCGCAGAAGAGGACTTACATGGACGTGAAAATTGGCAAGCTGAATAGCCAAGGTTACATTCGCCATACTATATGCACTCAACGTTGTTCAGCTCTGCAAAGCGATGTAAAGATGAATATCCAGACCGAGTTGGGACCTTCCTACCTGCAGTTCCTTGTGCAGGGGTGGTACGTGGATTGTTGAAGTATCATGTAAGTCGTTCGCCGTCAAATAGTTCAGTCTGATTTGGAGAAACTTTTTGACTCGGCGACTTGTATGGTCACGACCTGCTTGGTGTGAACAACCTCAATGGCAAACTAACAAACAAGGCTGCAGGATCGCAAATTCTCTCCGCAGGGTTTGTTCGCAGCCGTCAATTTGGTGTGATGTGATAGTGTGGTTGCACAGCTAATAAATGAGCTTATCATGCCGTTCGCCACCAGCGGATGTGACAAAGACAATGTCGCACAAGCTGGACACTCAATCTGCTGTTTGATCTTTGTGTGCCATGATGAAAGACAAGAAGTGGGTGAATATGTGGACTTCAGCTGGACCAATGTGAATTGAGAAAGCCCTTGTATGGTGAGCAGAGAAGCAAGCGCCAAAAAGGCAGACTGCACTTGATACTCAGGTAGGTACCAACCTACCTGCCTGCCTTATGGATACTTTTGAGCAATCACGAGGAAGGTGGTCGTGAAGTGGCAAGCTGGAAGCTAGAAATGGAAAGCATAATCTGTTTTAGGATAACGTCTTTCCCTCACAAGCCCGAGTAGGGTACGGCGTAGAAGGTAAGTCTTTCAGGGTATACCTGCCTCATCTCACCTCCCAGCTCTTCGGGACTGCATGAAAGAAGGCCCAGGCCAATGACAGAGATGGGTTGACTGAGCATGATTGGCTGGGGACTGACGGCTTCATCAGCTACAGCACGCTGCAAGCGCTGGGCCGGCCCTCGTACAGGGGGTTCTGCTTAGGTACGATCTACTTGCCTCTTCACGATACCTGCCGGCCCAATCTAAGACTTCTGGACTTCTCGGGCCCGGAGCCTATTTGACTACGCCGACTCAATTCGCTTAATCCGCAGCTCAACTCATGCATGAATGGCCTCACGGAGCGAATTCGTGTTATCGCCGACAATTCGCATTTCTGAGGAAGTCAGGCCGAACACCAGGGATCTGGAACTAAGCATCACATATGCATCAGAGAGATGAATATTGTCCTGATCTGACTGAATATCAGTCCTTATTCTGGCAAGATCATCTGTTGTTTAGACCTCTGGGCAATGCTAGTACGATACGGGATTATGCGTCTCACAGAGTTAATCACCACCCAACATGGATGAGCAACGGTGGAAGGGGGCAATGTCAACGACAACGAAAACACCAATAGTTGGCCGAATGAGACAAGGTCAAGGCACAGAAACTGGAGCGCCGCCGCCCTGGGACCCGGCCCTACCAACCTGCATCAACCCCTCGAGCTAAGTGCGAGATCTAGCGCGGACTCCACTGTCGCAGCTCTTGCATCTTCTTTAGGAGTAGGTCCACAACAGCTATTCCCTTTCACAGTCAAGACAGGCGAACGCAGGACCCGCTGACCCAATCCCGCCAGAACGGTGACTTCAAGCCCTCCGAGGGAGGCTTCGGAGGGATACAGAACTGTGGATCAACGAGCGTGGACAAGGCGCCGCCACGACGGCAGCACAGGCCGGCGCGGAGCGCTCCCTCCTTTGCAGTGCCCACTGCAGCATGTAGGTGCCCTCAAGGACCCCCGGCGCACGCCTAAAACAAAACTCTCGCTTAGCCTTGTCGTTGGGAAGGGTGGACAGGGGTTAAATGCAGGGATGAGGTCGGTGGACGAGCCTCCAGCTCTTGGGCCCGCAGCCCGGAACCTGAGCCCAAAGTTGCTCTAGGTACCTGGCCAGAGCACAGCACCACTTAGGCTTTTGTGCTGGTACTTCGAGTGTGCGCGGAGCCCCTGCTGCTCTGCCTATGACAAGACATCTCGCCGCGATGTGATCTCCTCCCCCGGCTATGTTGGGATCCAGGGGTCTGATTGCTTCTTTTCGACCCCAGCTCCCTCGGGTGAGAACCCACACGCCATCTTGCAGACAGTTTACTATGATGGGCCAAAATGACTGCCGGTGTTTCCAAGGGCTCCTCAGGCTGTGTACAACGTGAAGAGGTCGTTCCCTTCTTTTACCCTCGCACACCCCTCCAAATCTCCATCATTGCTTTCCCTTCCGACTAAGAACCTCCTTCGTCTACTTCATCCTTAAGAGGGCAATTTGACTGACCTTTGTCTCACCATTGCGGTACCCTTCTCGCTTGCCTGGATTGCCTTGCCTTAACAACGGATCTTCAAAAGACGACTTGTTCCGCTACCTAACGCAACTTCATCACCCACGACCTCCTCACTCTCTTTTCTTCTATTTGATATTGTCTAGCCAGTCTGACCAAGTCACTCTTTACTTGTAATCGACAAGATATCGATCTTCCATTCGTTCATACCTTTAAGATTTCAAGTTTTACAGAACCTGACCCAGACTTACACGCGGGTCTGGATTCTTCATTCCAGTCATTGCCACCAACTCACCTGTTACATTCCTGAATAAAAGCCAGTGATGGAGAACATGGGCTCATACCACCACCAACCTCAGTGGTCTGGCTGGGGCTACCAGAGCGCTGCCCACCCATACCCCAGATACTCTCAACAACTACCAAGTTATGCGGCTTACCTCCCTGAATCGATGGAGCTTTACAATGCTCACCAGGGGCATCTCCTACATCATCACCAAATGTCTAGAACAACTGAGACAAAGCCTCGACTCTCTAAGGAGGAGGTCGAGATCCTCGAAGCCGAGTTTCAGAAGAATCACAAGCCCAACAGCACTACCAAGAAGGCACTGGCTGAGTCTATGAGAGTAGACAATTCTCGTATTAATGTCGGTGTTCGATTTTGAGAAACTTATACCGAAATTACTAACAAACTCGCAGAACTGGTTCCAAAACCGACGAGCACGGGAGAAGAAGGAGAAAAACATCCGCGAGTACGCGGCGAAGCAGAGAATGGACAAAGACACAACTGCCAATGAATCCGGTGTCCACTCAGACGACGACCATCTTTCTGATCGGGTCGTTTCCAGCGCTCCATTCCCAGCCCCTCGCCCTCTCGAAATCCGGTCGACAGACGTATCAAGTCCTGAGCATGAAAGCGAGAATGATGCTAGTCACTCCGATTTTGGTGCCGGCTCGTCCCCAAATCTATCTTCTCAACCTACACCAGAGCCTGTGTCCGCATCTCTCAACGCATCCTTGCCCTCGTACAGTCAGTATCCTCAACTGATTGTGCCAAACGAGGATGGCGAACCTACTCCTTCATTATCCCAGCAGTGTTTCCCTCGCCTGTCCACATCCCCTATCCAGGAGCAATATGTTTACTCCAGCAACAACCTTGCTGTGGACCAGACTAGTCAGTCCTCCATGGGTCTGAAGCCCTCCCCTTCAATGGATATTGCATCTCGTCGAAACAGACGCCCACCTCAACTTGCCATCAACGCCTCCCGCAGTTACTCAGCAAGTGGTCCTAGAACCGGATTAGACATGGGAAGAAGGGCAGATGTTGGCCACTCAATGCGTCGTGTTGCTTCCGCGACTGGTGTTGGTCGTATCAGCAAACCCTGTGGTGGCCCCCGAAGCCCCTACTTCGAAAGAAACCCCGAGGCTCTGATGCAGCTTAACCGCTCCCCTAACTTCCAGTCTGCTGCAACAATCGCACCGCCCACTCCCAATACACCTGTCGTAGCAAACCAGCAAGGCTTGTGCGAGGCCACTCCGGCTAGCACAGTAGCATACGAAGAGAAGTACCCAATGGATCTTGCCATTCACGACCCAACCCTGCGTACCCCTCCCACTACACCAGGTGTCATGGATCAACTGTACAGCAACGAATCTGTATATCAGGTCGCCGTGGCGGATGAACCTCTGGTGACACCAGGACTGGCGCCATACCCCAATGAGTTCGAGGTTCCTGGTACCTCAAGCCAAGTACCCAACTATGTTTCCCAAGGGTGCTCTAGCCAGCCCCAGACCCCTTCTTATGGCGCCCCAATGGGGCCTACCTACTTTGGCTTCGCTGGTGGCAATGCTGAGTACAATTGGTCTGATGACGCCTCATTATCAGCACATTCATCGCCTGGGCAAAGCCAGCAGAGCGTCAATTTTATGAACATGACGCCCTCCAGCTTCACATACTCGGACAAGTGAATGTCCGAACATGACCCAAAAACGCGTCGTTACGCACCGCTATCAGCAGACAACGGCCTCTTGCAACTTGTACATAACATCGATTTCTTTTCTATTTCATCAAGGGCATTGTACAGTATAGACACAATGTCTTCACAGCAGCAGAAAATTGACAAATGTCAAAGCTAGCGACCATTGTTTGTTTCTCTTTTGTCCATGTCTTTTCGGTATTTTATGAATGAATACAACGGCATCATACCCTAATGTAATGGGAGGACGGCACTGGCTGGCGCTCGGGCATGTACACAGGGAGCGGAGTTTATTATCATCACGGAGGATCAGCTACCACGGAATTGGCGCGAGATCTTGGCCGGGAGAATATCATTCATGGAAGGTACCACATTGGAACAAATCTATGCCATGACCGCTGGAAAAGTGGGTAGCACATGGAGAAGCACTAAGGAAAATGCAGAAATATACATGAATCTACAATTCAATTAAACTCATCTCTACATCGCATGATTGACTTTGTTCAAAATAAGATAGTATATTGCAGACTTGGTAGTTATGGAATGACAAGACCTCCATGGGGTAGACACAGTCCTGCCATGACGGGCCACAGGTATAAGACTGTTCATGAAACTGAACTTGAAGTAGTAAGTATCAAACTCGTTTACGGAGAGCCCATAGACAGAGAAAGCTCAGCGCACACCCCTGACGATGGTATGTTGTTTTAGACCCTAAGGTCGTGAACCTAAAAGCGTTGTGGTGGTGTCCCACATTCCTGTCCTGTAAAGTGGTGGTTCCCAAAGCAGTAACAGATCGAGTTCTAGTTGGATGGCGCTATCCAGAAACCTTGTTCTTGACTCAAACGAACAATGAAAATGCCTTTGGCTCGCCAGTTCCTGTTTCTGGTCACATTAGCCCAGACCCGAGAACCGGGTCTCAGCCCGGACGGGCCAGTCCGAAGAGAAGCCCCGGGCCGCCGAAATCTGGTCCTATGACGGAAGAGCCCAACCAATCAGATATCCCTATCTAAGATCCTCACAAAATTCTTGTGCCCATGACGGTTCCGCACTAGATGGTACGTACAGCACTATCTGTTCCGAGGGAAAGGGTTGGCGCGGGGGATCGACACTGCAAGTGCTGATTGTGTGCAACGGGATCGATTAGACGGCCAATTGAGTATGAGATGGTAGAAATATGGGGCACGTATATCTCGAATTCAGATCACTTCTTCACCCTGATAGCCTCAACACGGGGCTTGTACTACTCGCAACATCCTCAAGGTAAGAATAGGAAGACACTTACCGTGAATCCTCCACGTACTAGTCAGTCACTTGACAGAAGACACCCATAGTACCTTGCTAAAAGTAGTTGGTCAGCCCAAAACACGAAAGATAAATGGCACAGTTGGGGTGGCTATCAAACGTCTGCTCGCTTACCAGATTACACTTTGGAGGCTTGCCGGTTTTTGAGGAAAGTCAAAAAGGATCTCCGTTGCATCGAATGCAGCCTGACTAACGTAAGGGACAACGACCTTGAGAAATGTTTGCCTCCTGTTCCTTGCAGTAATGCGTGCGGTGATCAATGGCCAACCATGTTCAAGACATAAAGAGCCATGGCTATAGAGTATCGACTAAGATTCAAAGAGCTGAACGTGACTCTGCAGCCACTAGAAAATGGCAAAATTGACGTTTACGAGCCTGGCAAGCCTGGATAAGCAAAGATCTCTTGCGCTGATGATTGCTCAGAGCCGAATAAGTGGCTGTTTGTTGTTGTCCGACATCACATGCGCTATCATGTAAGAGTCTTGGCATTCATCCTGTAGACGTCAGCTTCCGCCAAGTCTCGGACGAGATACTTCGTATACAAGATAACTTCTACTCGCATACGAGCCTGTAGTAATGGAAGATCATTAAAGAGCCCCTGTAGCCGGGGCATCTTCAACGATAAGGAGGTGTAATTATGTGAGTTGAGTCGTCAAGAAGGATTGGCGTCGTAGCTAGGTGTGCCTTGTTTCATCCTCAGAAAAAATACTTGGTCGAAAGATTATGATTTCAGACAAAGCTTAGTACCTACTAGGTATCTTGAACTGAAGGTACTTAGCTGCTAATATATTTGCCTCTAGCACAGGGTTGAATACGGTATCAATTTGATCGCAAATCGATAAGTACAATGTTCGTGATCTGGATGATAGTATCCAGATTGATTCATGAGGTCGTCCTTTAAATCGGTAACAATTCATGGCGTGACGACACATCTTAAATACATTTCAAGAAAGAACATGATTTCGCACCTGCAGTGATTATATCCAATTGGAGAGAAGACAGCGAATGACTTCGATGTCATGATAACCACTATTCGCAGATAAGAGCAGCAAGTTGATGTATATTCTGTGGTGGTGAGGTGCTATAAGTTCTGTACCGTATTCAGCGGTTTTCAGGTAGCCCATGTCCACTAAAATTAAGACGCGACGCGACCTACCTATTAAATACGTCACATCCAATCCTATCTGGAGCTCCCGTGCACGCACCCCCATTAAAACCACTTTAGCACATAAAATGCATGCCACTTGAGCACTTCATATCATAACAACAACAGTTTTTTGCAGCCTTGCAGCTATATCCTAAATTCAATTCTTTTTGTAACTGTATTCGAATATTCTCAGATGGATTTCGCCGCATGATACTTTGTCCGTTTCAATGTCCTCTTCCGCCGTTGCTGGCATAGACGCGACGCGTCCAGCGCGGTCAAGGATTTTGACACCAAGCTCTGAAGGGAGCTCACATCACAAAGATGAGCTGCGTTCTCCCGAGGGACACAAGAGGAAGAGGGCCGACTCAGTTGCCATGGAGCACCTTTTGAAGCCGTCAATTGCTATCAAGGTTTGCGAATACGAATCCGGCACTGTTGAATGCTTCAGCTAATTCGTGATTATGTAGCCTCATCCTCCGAAACTCAATGTCCAGCCTCGCATCCTCTATCCATTGATGGTCCTCCCCCGCGAACGTCTGCCTCTCTCTTGTATCGATTTCCACGCTACCAATGTCGATCTTGCTTCGTATCGATTCTTCGAGTCTCATGTCAAAATCCTTGACTTGGAGAGTCGCATGGGCTCTGGCCCCGTGGTACTTCTAGCCAGAAAGGAGGCAAGTCGTGCCGTATACGCTCTCGAGCGACAACCCAACGGAGTATATGTTGTATGCAGGCTAGGACCCTGGACAGACTTGGAGGCTCTAGCAGAAGACGCATCCGCTGTCTGTCGAGAACGCTTACGCCCAACTGCTAGAACCGAGTCTCAAAGTCAATACGGGCCCTCTGTAATTACCACCCCACACATTCATAAGGAAGAAAAGATCAAACGAGCGGCCATCGAAGCTATTCAAACCCTAGTCCGCAAAAGGCCCAGGTCGCAGTCTGTTTCAACATTGGCCGAGTCTGTGAAAATAGAAGCAGCCCCCGAAGCTGCTATAACCGCGGATTCCAAACTACAGTCGCCAACCTTCAAACCAGAAGAAGTGGCACAAACCCTAGGCGAGCAGCAGACCCAGGCATCACGTCCTACAACTGCAATTTCAACCTCTGGCAACATCAACGAGCCTTCCCAACAGCTGACTACGGAAAGCATATTTGAAACTATAAGAACCCAGTACTACGAGATGCTATACAAGTCCATGGTGAGACCTTTGAGCCTGACTTTCACTGCCATAGCTAATCAACACAGGGATCGCTCGCCTATTTTGCCAAAGGGCCACTCTCTCGTGCTCGTTCTGCTTTCCATCTCGACCTTGAAGCTAATCTAGATATTGGTGATCTCATCGACTTCTTGAAAGGACTCGTTCTTACCACTGTCCAAATCGACAAAAAGTACCGTGAGACTATTCCAGCTCTCATAGCCCAGATGAAAACAGTGGTGGACAGTTCTGACGAAGGCCCAAAGAGAAAGCGCCGAGCCAAGAAGATGAAGATCGGAAAGGATGGGCTCTATCCATATGAAGAAGCTCATATCAGAAAGTGGTGGGCCACCAACAAGCCTGAACTGAAAGAGGACGAAACCAACGTTCCCACTCAACAAATTCAATCACTTACCTCTATGCTTCGCACGAGAGAAACCCAGCTCCAGATGATAATCATATTGGAGATCCTGGCATTGACTCTTCTGAAACCCGCAGATGATGCGGAAGATAGCCAGCTCCCTCTATTGCCTGGTGCTGCTGAATCTCAAGGTGACGCGGTGGTTCCGTCAGCCAAGAAGCGGAGCAAACATAATCTTCCTGTTCTTGTAGATGTCCACGCTGATCGGTTGACTATCTGGCAATCTACCGCTTCCGACGAGCAGCTCCTTTTAGAAGATTCCCAAATCACTCAAGCACCGGATGGTCAATCTCAGCAGAAGGCGTCATCGGAGCCTCTGAAAGACTTTTGTGTGGACATCATTGTGCCATTGTAAGCCTCATGTTTCCCTGTCATCTCCGGATAACGACTGACTAGCTTCGGTAGCTTCTCCCATAGGCTCCCAGAGCTGTGTGATTCGATCAACCGCAAATTGGGAGGGCCTGTCATTGTGAAACCTACAAGGCCGAAGGTTCTAAAACGGCCATCAAGCAAGCGTTCGCCGAAGCCAGGAGCAGTTGCCAAACGCTCTATATCAGGTCAGCCTACAAGGACGTTGCAAAGAGCTCTTTCGACAGAGCAGCAGTCGCGGCGAAGTGTTTCTAGGGGTCCCAGTAACATGATTGCCCTCATGCGCTCTGCAACATCCACTTCTCTGCCAGGAATCAAGCGAGAAGCTAGCGATCCATCCCTGGTTAAGTCGGTCCTGAACGCTGAGCCCGATCTAATGAATAGGAAGAGTGGGCCATTATCTCGGAGCAGCAGTGTATCCAACCTGCAAGACGCGAAATCTAACAAGAAAGCTCAAGTCGAAGCAGAGCTAAAGGAGGCTATCTCTTCTTTGAGGAAGCCTAACCGCGAAGTTGTCGGTAAGGCACTGGCTGAAGCGGCTGAGCGGCGAGCAACAGTGGGCTCTTCAGCCAAGAGTATGTATTCAAGTAGCAAACCTTGCGAGTATTTCTGGCTAACATCAACTCTCAGAAGTGAGAAAACCAGGCAGAAGCTCTCTAGGCGTATCCGTTGTGAAGGCAACGCCAGCAAACACACGTTTCAGAGATGTATTTGCGAAACCACATGTGGCAGATACACCCATTATGAGCACTGAAGATGTCATTCCTCCTTCAAGCCTTCCCTCTATGGTTCCCTCTACTGGTCTCCGAGGAGCACAGCGGGATGGCTTCCGTCAGAGTCCAACTCCTGATATTGAGAGGATTGGTAGCACGCCTACAAAGGCCGGATCGAGTTTCATTCGTCGGCCTAGGAACGATGAAGACGTTTTGCCATTCCCGCCCTCATCGCCGTCTCTAGAACGACTAACTATGTCCGCTGCCGACCTGTTCAACCCGGGTGGGGTCACGAATCGAAAAAGAAAGGTCAGTTTCACTTTTTCTCGTAACGACGAGCTTTTGGCAACGCCCGTTAAGGGTATGAAAACAAAGAACATAGATATGGAGAACCAGGCGGCTAAGCCCATGCCTGCTAAGTCGGTGTCGATATATGAGAAATTAGGATGGGATGACGACCTAGATGACCTGTTATGAGTTACTTGTCGGAACATTTAGCGGTGTTTTTATGAGGGGCATGCATCATTGCAGCAGGAGTTTCAGCACTGTTAGAAGGCGTTGGGAACATTATAAGAAATATTGTATCGGCAATGATATTAGAGATACGACACACGATACAGGTAATATGATAGCTCAACATGAATGCATTTGGATTGAATGAAAAGACCTTATGCCGCTGCTGGCTCTACCAACATAGTTGGCAAATCTCTGATATCGACATGCTCCTGTGACCCTAGATCAACAACTCGCATGGCCTCGAGGCCCACAACGCCTTCTTGTAGCGCGAGAAATTGAAGCTCGACTACATGACAAGCTCCTGGGGCAAGAGGACCGACACGGGTATCAGCGCTTAAGCAAACAACATCAGTTGACTCGACAGACGAGTTCTTCTGTAATGCGTGGAGTACGTTTTCGTCCGTGACCGCATCGGCAACGTCTTTTTCACCATGTCGTCGACCACCCACTGAGGGAGGCCGTGTCATACGAACTTCGCCTCGCCGGCGCTTGGGAATAGCAACGAGGGCAAGTTTGCGGGGAGGCGCAGAGTTCTTTTCTGTGGCACGGTTGACGATATAGACGGTCCAAGAAAAGACCTGCCCCGGGTAGACAGGTTCAGAGGGGCCAGTGAAGGTCATGGTTATGCCAAGTTCTGTAATGGAAGCGTCTGTGTTGGATGTGGCAGCCTCGAGAGTGGGCAGGGCGTCTGGACGAATGATAGATGGCGATACCAGGGGGTTTACTGCTTGGCCTGTGATAGAAAGTTGCGATGGTCTATGGGCACGGACAATGCCAGTTCCAGCAGTTGCCGATCCATAGCCAGGATTGACTGGGAGAGTAAAGTCAAGCTGAGTTGACCATGACATGTTCATACTGGGCGTGCAGCGGCCCGGTATAACCTGAGCAGTAGCGGAGATTTGAATGTCCAGTTCCCGCATGGGGTTTTTGACTGTAACGTCGTGCTGACGGGGAGCAATGCGATAGAGGAACGTAATATGATCGTGAGACACGCAGGTAAGAGGTAGCTGCATACCCGCGTCATTGTTGAGGTTTTCGACAGTAGCGTCGAGAATTGAAAGTTCGATTTGATCTAATGATACCTCGCATTCGAAATGAGATGTAAAGTCAACTTCAAGCAGTGCGATCACGGCTGAGCTGGTCGGTGCTGTAGTCGGTCTTGAAAACCGGATTCTCGTGTGGACGACAGGGAAGATCTTGTGCTGAACCTGAGGCAGAGCTCGTATATGCTTCGTCACATCTTGTGAGCGCGTAACGGGCGTAACTCTTGATACTCGCAGTGCAGACAACCGAGGCTTCACTCCGCCGAGTGCAGCATCGCTTCCGAAAGACTCGAGCAGGTTAAAGCCAGAGGGCACACCGCTCTGAAGGTAACCACTCCCCTTTCCAATGAGGTCAGTTGAAACCTCAGGTTTCATGCTCGCGGATGCGGTGAAAATGATGGCTGGTGCCGAGATTCGTGCACGAGGTCGACTCAAAAAGACGGGTAACTTCCAAACAGCAAAAACGCTTTGGTCTAGGTTGGCATCATCACCACTTTCTTCACTATCGTTACTGTCCTCTTCTTCTTCTTCCTCCTCCTCCTCCTCCTCCTCCCCCCCCTTGACGATGATGAAAGGATCATCAATATCTGGGACTGTACCGGAGAAGATGGTATCCGTTGTAGAATTCTCCTTGCCATGGGTTTTGCTGTTGACGATCTGGGCTTCGACTGATATCACTAGCCGATTGAGGTGAGTGCGGAGTGATGCTTCATCTTTCCAGGGGCTTTTGAGAAGTAAAAGAACATTTACCGTCTCATCTGGGGATTGTGAGCAACAGAGTGACGCGAGAGATTGTGCGTTGCTTACCGAAGAATAATGTATCCCTGCGTTTGATTGAATCAAGTATTGACTTCCCAGGTTCGACATCCTTAAAAGCTGCTTCCAAATCTAAATTCGTATTCTCTGGTATAAGATACGACAAGTGTGACTGCTCAGCAAACTCAGTCGTAGGGTCGGTAATAAATAGGTTTCTTTTGAGTTGAGTGAGAGATTCAGGCTCATGTTGAGTAGCCTCCGTGGGTATAGACTCCCTGTCGGTGGTGTTGCCAGAGCCTGACATTTCAGTCAGAGAATTCAACCGAGCCTGTTATGAAGAAAACTGATAACCTGAGTAGAATTGGGTCTTTCAAGTCGCGCGCTTGAAGGATCTCGTCTTTTTAACTATCATTGATTTGTTAGATTACCCGTGTAAGTCGGAATGCAGCTCATGCCCCTAAGCGACGTGGTCCCTCTGATAGATATCAATGCCTTAGGTAATCACGCATTTGGCTGTCGCGACGGGAAATGGTCTGTGCGCAAAAAGTTAGTGCTGCCGAAATCGACCATCTCTACCTTTACCTCCGTGTTGGCTGATCCTTCTCACCACATCGCCATCATTTTATCACGACCTGGAATCCCGCCACTACTTTGAAGCGGGCGATTTGTGTCGCGTACATAAGCTGCACCAGGTGACAGTACTTTCAAGATGAACGGCTTCGGCTCTCCTTATGGCCAGCCTGTCACAGCTTGGCAGGAGCACCATACGCCGGATGGAAGAGCATACTATTACAACCCGACTACTAAAGCCACGCAATGGACGAAGCCCGAGGAAATGATGAGCTCAGCTGAGGTCGGTATCCAGTGCACGTCATTGATGTGTACGTTATTGCTAACAAGCCACAGCGCGCTCTCGCGAACCAGCCATGGAAGGAATACACTGCGGAGGGAGGCCGAAAGTATTGGTATAATACTGAGACGAAACAGAGCTCCTGGGAGATGCCCGATGTCTACAAGACCGCCCTCGGCACAACAAGCAAGCCCGCGACCCCTGCTTCTGCAACCCCCTACACGCCTCCCGCCAGCGCAGGCGGCTACAACCAAGCACCATACGACCAATATCGCGATCAACGCGACACTTATCCTGAGTCTCGTCAGATCACGTATGGAAACGACCCCAAAGTCCAGGCTTTTGTACCCGCGACGAACGATCCCGAATACGCCACCACTGAAGAGGCTGAGGCTGCCTTTGCTAAGCTTCTTCGACGAAGCGGAGTCCAGCCGGACTGGACTTGGGAACAAACCATTCGAGCAACTGCGCGAGACCCGCAATTTCGTGCCATCAAGGATCCTAAGGATCGTAAGGCTGCTTTCGATAAGTATTGTCAGGATGTTGTTGTCCAGGACAAGGAGCGAGCCAAGGAAAGATTGGCTAAACTCCGCGCTGACTTCGAGACTATGCTGAAAAGGCACCCTGAGATCACCCATTACACCCGTTGGAAGACCGCACGTCCGATTATTGAAGGCGAGACCATCTTCCGTTCTACCAACAATGAGAGTGAGCGTCGGCAGCTCTTTGAAGAGTACATCATCAGCCTGAAGAAGGCACACGCTGAGCAGCAGACGACTCTTAGGAAGAACGCTATGGATGGCCTCATCGATTTGCTTCCCAAGCTCAACTTGGAGCCATACACTCGATGGGCTGATGCTCAAGGTATCATTTCATCTACCCCGCCTTTCCAGAATGACGAAAAGTACCAGGCTCTTACCAAGTTTGACATTTTGACTGCTTTCCAAAACCATATGAAGGCCCTGGAGCGCAGGTTCAACGACACAAAGCAGGAGGAGAAGAACCGAAAGTTCAGAAAAGAGCGCAAGGCTCGTGACGCTTTCAAGTCCCTCCTTACTGAACTTCGCCGCAATGGAAAAATTAATGCCGGAACCAAATGGAGTCAGATCGTTCCTCTCATCGAGAATGACAATCGCTATACCGACGCCGTAGGCCAAAGTGGCTCGACCCCTCAAGAGCTTTTCTGGGATGTTATTGAAGAGGAGGAACGTGGGCTGCGTGGACCGAGGAACGATGTCTTGGATGTTCTCGAAGTAAGTTGTTGCTCCTGATGAAGCTTTGGTAATTGGTTGGTAACAATTTGCAGGACAAGCGGTTTGATCTTACGCCTACGAGCGATTTTGAAGAGTTCCTCTCCATCATGAAGGATGATCGACGGACTGCTAACATTGAACCTGATATTCTCAAGCTCATCTTCGATCGAGTAAGTTGACCTAATTGATGTTGAGTTGTGTCTCTGTGCTGACAACTTATCAGCTTCGCGAAAAACGCTCTTCGAAGCGAGGAGATGATCGACAGTCGGAACGCCAACAACGCAGAGCTATTGACGATTTACGTGCTTACATGAAGCGCATGGAGCCCCCTATCACCTTGAGTGATACATATGACAAGGTACGATCTCGACTTTTGAAATCAGACGAGTTCCAGGCCGTTGCATCCGAAGATGCACGACGCAATGCTTTTGACAAGCACATTCGCCGGCTGCGAGAGAAGGAAGATGAAGCGGATCGAAGCTACAGGCGACGTGACCGTATGTCTAGCGAAAGAGACATGCATCGCCGTGAGCGGGAACGATCTAGAGGTGAGCGATCTCATCGTAGTGGTGGACGTGGTTCTCGACGAAGTCGCAGTCCGGAGCCCGATGCCTACGAAGCGGACCGACGCAAGGCTATCGCTGAGCGGGAGCGTAATCACCGTAAATCCACCATGGCCGAGGGTCTTCTGGGTGCAGATAGAAGCCGTTTGTCACCACCACCTCGTCGTGAGCGAGAAAGAGACCGTGATCGCGAGCGGGAAAGAGATTACGATCGTCCTTCTCGCTCACGCCGTGATGATGACAGCTACTACGATCGCGAAAGACGAGATCGAGAAGATGAACGCGAGAGACTGTATCGCCGTCGCACCGACCGGGGATCACACGACGAACTTAACTATGGGGATGAGCGTCCATCCGGCTCTCGACGTCGTCGTCCAGACGATGAAGACGAATACACTCGTCATGATTCGCGCGATGCTAAGGTACGAATATAAAGCCACCCTCAATTACACTGGAGAAAGCATAACTGATAACATGAACTAGAGAACTAAGAGGGAACGGTCTCGAGAGCGTACACCGCCTCGTGCTGAAGAACGTCCTCGTAAGAAAACCCCTCCACCTACAACCAAGGATGTTCACTCCGGCAGCGAAGAGGGCGAGATTGAGGAGGATTAGAAACTGGAACCGTATGTCGAAAGCTATGGTTAAAGCATTTGGTTGCACTCTTTCTCAGTACGTACTGGCATTGTCAAAACCCCTGACAAGGTCCGTCCGGCGAGATGACACATGAGTACAGGCTTGCGGCCCCTTGTCGCCACGGCCGCCCAGTACCACAACGGTGGAGACATGGCGAGTACATTGCTTCCAGAAGCAGTCTTTTGACCAGTATGTGTCTTTCCCGCTTCTTATCTTAGTCTAGGTTTATTGTTTGTGAATTTGTTGAGATAGTAGTCAATCCTCCAGTTGGGCGTGTACAAGGATTAGAAATAGTAAGGATGATTGACCTCGTTTTAATGTTTTAATTCATAGCTTTTGCTATACGATCCAATGTCTGTGTAATTGAAACTATTTCAAGACTAACTAACGGCCGTTCTAATAATATCAATTGTTTCCCGCGAGGTGGGAAACCGTAGACGGCAGAGATCCTAGTACATCAATTGTCCCTCAATCTACGAAGCAAGCCATTTGCCGTTGACAGAGAAGTTCTCGAATTCCAAACACCTCGAGTACCCCTCAAGACAGAAAACCAGATAAAAATGAAGGCTTCGTAGGACCAGACAAGAGGAGACACTCTGCCGTCACCGTCGTTATTCATCTGGGTCGTCATCCTCGCTGACGCTGCGGTCATCATCTATTCCCAAGACTCGCTGCTTTTGCCCATTTCCATTTTGAACGCCCCAAACGCCGTGAGATGCACCATCGAGAGAAGGGAAAATCTCGTTATGGACGCCTTTAGCTCTTATCAGGGGTCTCCTCCAAGAAGAACTGCAAAAACATGTTAGTGAATAATCATCTTGTGCAACTACAGCGTTTGAACTTACGAAATTGCCGCTCATCTTCTGCTCTTGGTCGAGCTGAGATCCGCTCTTATTGATACGGGGGCGGTAGTTGGTGGGATCGCGACGGAAAGTGACGTCGAGGTTCTTCAAGAAGGTGTTGCAGCCGGTAAGGAGAGATTCGGGCTTGTTGGCATGAGCATCAATACCAGGCTGTCCGTCGAATACAATGACACGGTCAGCAAGGTACGTGGCCATGATGAAATCGTGCTCAACAATGAAAGCAGTCTTCTTAGAATGCATGATGAATCGCTTGATGACTCGTGAGGCAATGATACGCTGCTCAGAGTCGAGATAGGCCGACGGCTCATCGATCAGATAAATGTCCGCAGGGATACCCAGGGCAAGGACGATGGCAACACGCTGCAGTTCACCACCAGAAAGGTTCTTGACTTCCTGATCAATGAAATCATCGAGCTTGAGAGGCTTAACGACGTCGGTCTGAAACTGCGGAGACAGGAAAGACTGCTTGATCTTCTTGAAGAAAAGTTGGCGGACAGTGCCATCGAACTTGGGGGTGATAGTCTGAGGCTTCATGCTGATTCGCATCTCAGGGACGCTTTTCTGACTATCAGGCTTGAGGGCTCCAGCCAAGAGGCGGCAGAATGTGGTCTTTCCAGTACCGTTCTCACCCATCATGACGATGATCTCGGAATCGGTGAAGTCACCAGCCTCGATGTTGAGCTTGAAGCTGCCGAGAGTCTTCTCCATCTTAGGGTAGGTAAAGGCACGAGATTTGTCGATAGCGAAATCATCGGTAGTCTCCGCAATACGGAAAGTCAAAGACTCGTCGCGGAATCGCAAGTTCTCAGTCGGGATGTGACCGTCAAGGAAGATGTTGATACCTTCACGGACGGAGTGCGGGAGGGTGACAACACCATAGACGGCGGGCTTTCCGTACAGAACACAGATATAGTCAGAGAGGTAATCCAAAACAGACAGATCGTGCTCGACAACAATGACATAGTCGTTGTCACGGAGGAGGGAGCGAATGATCAGAGCAGCACTCAGACGCTGCTTGACATCAAGGTATGAACTTGGTTCGTCAAACATGTAGATGTCAGAATTCTGGACGGCAACGGTTCCGATAGCGAAACGCTGAAGCTCACCACCAGAAAGGTGGTTGATATCTCGGTCCATGATGTGGTTCAGCTCGAGAACATTGGCAACCTGCTCCATATTTCCAAGCGAGGCACGACTCTCGATAAGGAAGCGGACACTCTTGTTGGGGCCCCTGACCGCCCTGGGGATCTGGTCGACGTACTGAGGCTTGACAACTGCCTTGAGGTCATCTTCGAGAAGCTTGGTGAAGTAGTCTGGTTACAAGTCAGTAACAACTCGGTTACTCCCAGGTTTGAGGCAGCTACATACTCTGAAGCTCGGAACCGCGAAAGTGCTTGATAACGTCCTCCCAATCAGGAGGGTTGTCGTGTCGGCCCAAGTTGGGCTTGAGCTTTCCACTAAGAATCTTCAGAGCGGTACTCTTTCCAATACCGTTTGTTCCGACCAAACCAAGAACCTGGCCGGGTCGGGGCATGGGCAGACGGTGCAGCTTGAAACTGTTGGGTCCATATCGGTGGGTGACCTGGCTTTCGAGGTTGGTGGGCAAGTTGATGATGGTGATGGCGTCAAAAGGGCACTTCTTGGGGCAGATACCGCAACCGATACAGAGGGACTCGGAGATGAATGCCAGCTTAGAGTCGGGCTGGACCTCAATACAGAGTTTTCCGCTGCGAACGACGGGGCAAGACTTTTTGCACTCTTGTCGACATTTTCGAGGGCGACACTAAAAGGAGGGGTCAGAAAATGTTTGGCGGGGCAATGGTGATGCTGATGCTGGTGATCATGCTAATGACGGACCTTGTCGCTGTTGACGATGGCGATACTGTTGATTGCATGTCAGCGCCTCTTCTTCTTCTTCTTCTTCTTCTTCCTCTGCATTGTTTATGTGCTTCGTGCCGATCGCATAGACGTACCGGGTGAGCTTGTCCGACATTGTTGTGGTGATGTAGCAAACGTCGCTTCAAAGCGATTTTGGTGGGGTAAAATTTGTTTCGTGGGTAAGAAAAGAGAGACGGAGGTCGACGACCAAGGGATCTCGAGCGCGCAAGATACAGTGAGTCGCTGGCGCTCGCCGATGCTCTTTATACAGCGGAATACACGGTGAGAAAGAAAATCGGAGGGAGAAATCAAGGTTAAAAGAACTTCCAAGGTCGGGCTTTGGGTTGTGCGGGTGGTAATCCAATTTTCAGGCCCTGTCATAGGTTTGGCGGGGGGGCTGTGGACCTACTAAATTAAGAGGTTCGCGTGTCGAGTAAACTGCTATACTCAGGTAGGTATCTAACAGTAAATGTGAATGTGACCTTGGCTTTGCATGACGTTGTTGCTGCAGCCATCCATTAACATATTGTCAACTTCAACGACTACCTTATGGCAACTCATGGGCCTTCTTGATTCAGTACATATGTCTCTCTGAGTCGCCAAATACCTTAATCAAGTACTGGGCAGGTGAAAAGTTTTTCCCTGACCTCTCGGTATGTCAAAGACTTGAATCCTTGAACCTAGTGCGAAAAATGAATATCTACCTAGTACCTACGTAGTAGGTAGGGAGGTCTATCCAAAAGTTATCAAACGATGTTTTCCCCCTTCTTAGGATCGAACTTGAGCTTTTGGCCATCCCCTAACATGACTCTAACCTTAGGTTCTTCAAGGTGTCAATCCATCAGGTGAATAATTCGGTGCCTTTCTTCGTAGAAAGGAACCCGAACCGGACAGAGCTGACTCACTCACACTACACACCACTCTGCTCTGTGCCAACAAACACGTCCTATGCATTGGATTATATCACATCAGAGTTGAAGTCGCGGTGGCTTATAGCAGGTGTCAAAATATCATATTGCACACAATATCGCCCCGTATTATAAGTTCAAGGTAATAATTTTACCATTAAACATGGGCCAATCCGCTCTCTGTGCCACATGACAAGCATTATCGATCAAAACACAAATTGAGTATGATACTGTCTCCAGTGAATAGAGTGCGTTGAAGGTAAACCATATCGGATTTGTGTGATGTTATTTGGAACATATGTAGGTATATATATAGAGAGAGAAGCTAAATCGATTGTGCGATCTGCCTTAATTCGTTCGCATAACAGTCACTTTCTTTCTGGTCCTAATTTTCAGCACTGAGTTGGGAGATTAAAGTAGAAGAGCGTTGATAGAAAAGTAGAATAATCAACAGAAGCACCAATTCATTACCTACCTAGGCTCTACCTAGATACCTAGTACCCGGACTCACGCCTTGGCCTCAGGCAATGATCTATTCATACTTCCACTACAGTCGAACTCTCAATAAGAACAATACGGTCCTTGGTTATCCAGGGTAGTGGCGCTAGTCTGTCACATTCATTGGCTATACACGCAACAGAAAAATAATAGACATCGAGAAATAGATGCAACTTCAAACCCAAACAGTCAGAAGCGGACATATTGATGCAAGTTGAAAAACATAATCAGGTAACGATACCCAAAGCTCTACATTATACTGTGTTTACTTATCAACTATAAATTCGCTGTCATTTGGGCATTGCTCTCGCGTCAGTGGATTAGTGGCTGAAGATCACGTGACACACGCTCCACCTCTCAGGTGCTCTCAGCCTCTCACCCCCCGTGCAATCAATCCAAATCTTCAGGTTCCTGCCTCTCCACCAAATTGATTCTCCCGTCCCCTACCCACGTCACCGGGCCCCCGATACCCCCAAACACTTCCCGACAGACAGCCGATACTATCTACATGTTGGCTTTCGTCTGCATGTTATACTTTAATGACTTGTGAGTTTCCCCTACCCTTCCTGCCCCTTCTAGTCTCTACCGCGCTTCTGGCTTGCTGGCCTGTCGCCTATCGTCGATCCCGCCTCGGCCTCGGCCTTGCCCATCACGATATTGCTTCCTCAAGAGCCTTATATACGCAATAATTCGATGCAATTTGATGGATTCGATGCTCCACGTTCGTCCGGACCCTCCTGTGGCCCGATACGCCGCACCCGAGTTACCTGGTTCTCTCAATTGCGAGTTCGGGGTTTCCATCAAGCGACCATCGATAACTTACACGGGATGCGACAAGTACTTCATCTCTACCGTTTCCCCAATATTCAGACGTTCTAGGGGTCGTTTATGGGTCGCCGGAGTCGCGTCATTCCGTTCATCCCTCAAGCGCACACGTCAGACTAGAACATCAGCTAATATCGTCGCGTCCTCAGTAGGTAGCCTGTATCATCACCAACATGATGTCCACCCCTACTTTGGGGGGTCCCTCCAATGGACATTTGTCGCCGGTTGATGGAATCAGCATGTCGTTTGATACAGGAGATCATGCAACCGATAGCGACTCGCATGATGCCCCCGATCTCACGCTCGATCAACCATCACCGGCATCCTCAGACGAGGCGAACAACGATTCCAATATTGCCCACGACAATACACACATGTCAGCGAGTGAACAATCCAGCGAAGACAATGC